ACATCATCAACAGAGGAATACAATCAGTTTTAATAGAGGATGCCAGCAGTCTCCATACTAGCTCTCAGGATATTAATATCCAACCAGAGGAATACCTAATGTCCTGCTCTATTCTCATTTCTACAGACCTGGTGGTCTTAACTTTGATAGGAAGGGACTTTAGTGAAGGGCCAAAAGTTATCAGGGCATCATGGGAAGTATTATCTGAATGTGGCTGAGAAAAATTTCATACTAAGATTTAGGTTTGACCACTACATGCATATCTTAGACTGTCTCCCATTTTTACTAGGTGTCTGCAAACTGATTTGATTATGTCACAAGTTTCAAAAGAGAGGATAATTATCATTCCTACCATCTCTATGTCTGAGGACTGCCTGTATCTCAACATCTACGCACCAGTTCATGCCCATGAAGGTTCTAACTTTCCTGTGAGTGTGAGACTGTGGACAACTGGGGAAGAGGATGTTTCTTTTTCTGGAAGATAGAAAGGCACAAAGCAATTCAGAGATCCACTGTGGTTTAGACCCTGATTAGTAGTCTTACCTTATTGGTTTCAAGAAGGTCATCTCAGCCATGGTGAGCTGCTGAAACTTGTGTGTGTGTGGCTTAGCACACTGGAGTTCTTAGAGGTAAGAAGCACTAGTCTTTGGTTAAGCCAGAAATTCTCCGAATTTGAACCAGGCAGACCCACTTTGGGAAGATGCTCAAGGACTGCATATTGACATCACCAAAATTTCCATCTGCAGGTTATCCCTTGTAAAAATGGGATCTGATGTACTTTTTGAACAACAATCAGGAAAGACACACATGGAGACACTACTATTTGCTCTACTTTGATGTGTCTGAGTGATGATCTAGAGACATTAAACCATGCGGAGATTTCCTGTTGGGGAAGTGCAAATGAATATATGCTTATATGACTACAGTACCCCATCTGTTGACTACATTCTGAAATCTCTATGAGATCAATATGTATGTCAATCTGCATAGAGAAGAAACATTTGATAATCTAGTAGGCAGCCCAATTGTGCTAGAACTAGGTATGTCATCTGTCTTGATTTCTTCAGGTGATGGTGCGGATCCATGGTGGTGCATTGGTTGTAGGAATGACTTCCATGAATGATGGATCCACACTGGCAGCTACTGAGGATATAGTTATTGTCCCTATCCAGTATTGCTTGGGTATCCTTGGCTTCTTCAGGTAAGCCTGGGATGAGACTGGGTAATGTTACTTGAGTAGAACATGGACCGACCTGTGATTCCTGTTCCTGCCACTTCACAGCACTGGAGACAAGTATGCCAGAGGAAATTGGGGCTACCTGCACCAAATGACTGCCCCACACTGGGTCCAGCAGAATATTGCCTCCTTTGGAGGCAATCCTGGCCAGGTCACTATTTTTGGTGCATCGGCAGGTGGCTCAAGTGTGTCCTCACTTATCATGTCCCCAATGTCCAAAGGACTCTTCCATGGAGCCATTATGCAGAGTGGAGTGGCTCTGCTACCTGGCCTTATCTCTGACACACCTGAGGCGGTCTACACAGTGAGTATCTTCATCAATACCAGTCCCTACTTTGCTGCTTCAGGTCTGGCCTGTGGTAATCTGTTAATATGTTAAGCAGGGGGAAAACAAGGTCCATGGCAAATAGCTGCTTCCCAGTCATTTATGAGAGGCATAAAACTAAGTATCTCCCCACCTCTACTTCATGCATGCTGAGAATATATTATATGACAGCAAAGCTGTTTCTCTGACTTCCACTATTGGCAAAACTCATACACATGGTTTGCTGGTTTGCTTCTTGTTACTGTGATAAAGACCATGGCCAAAAGCTGCTTGTGGGAAAAGTGTTCAGTTCAATTTACAGTTTATAGTCCATATTGAAGGGAAATCAGAGCAGGCACTCAGGCAGTTACCTGGAGGTTGGGAGTGAAGCCTAGGCCAGGGAGGAACACTGCTTAATGCCTTGTTTCCCATGGCTTCCTAAACTTGCTTTCTCATACAACACAGATCACCTGCACATGGGTTGTACTGTTCAAAGCTGGATGGGCCCCTTCTGCACCAGTCATTTATCAGTAAAATGCTTGGACACACCTATGAGCCAACCTGATAGAGCCATATTCTCAGTTGAAGTTCCTCTTTCAATATTGCCCTGGCTTGTGTCAACATGATGAATAAATATGTAAAAAGACATATGGATTGAGGGAAAGGTGAGTGGTAGAAATACTCACTCTGCAAGTGTGAGGCTCCAAGTTCAAATAAGTTTAGAGGTGATACTATGTGTCAATATTCCCAGTGCTCCTATGGACAGATGTGAAACAAAGACTATGAATCTCTGGAATATCAAAGTTCAGCTAAGCTGATGACAAATGCAAACAGTGAGTAAGGTGACAGTGATACCTGAGGATGTTCTCCACAAATTAGGACACACCATATTGTTATACATGAACACCACATTCAAAAACAAAACAACAATTAAACAAATATGTAGGCAGAAATGGTCCCTGTCCCAGCTGTTACCTTTGTGCAACTGACAATATGAACAATTCCACTTAAGTCATTTCATACACAACAAAAAGTAGGGTGTGGTATTTGGAGGCAATGACATTTACTTGAAATCAAGGAAACTCTGTTCCCTGCTGAGAAAGATGAGCAAACCAGTGTCTGTTCTATTTACAGATGGTGGCGAACTTATCAGGATGTGAGGCCAAGGACTCAGAGGCCCTGGTATATTGTCTTCAAGGCAAGACTGAAGCAGAGATTCTGGCTATCAACCAGGTTGGGAGAATTGTGTGGACTGGAGGACCTGGTCACTAGGATGTGGGGTTGCCAGTACTTACTACTCTAACCAGTTAACTGGTATCCAAGGTTTGGTGTTCTTTTAATCCTGTGTGCAGAAATAATAATTGGGTGTATTTTGATGTCAGTTTCTCCTGGAGTGAGCCTGGGATGAGATAGGAAATGGGGAAATAGCATGGGAGTTCTGTTCTATATTCTACTAGGTTCTGACAATGGGCATTAGAATATTTATGTGATTGGTCTTCAGCCCTGACACTTAGTGCCACATAGGTCTTCATGATAATCCCTGCTGTGGCAGATGGGGTGTTCCTACCTAGGCACCCTTGGTATCTGTTAGCCTCTGTGGATTTTCACCCTGTCCCCAGCATTATTGGTGTAGACAGTGACAAGTATGGCTGGGGAGTCCCCTTGGTAAGGCCAAGTACTAAATCCCTGGGAACCTAAACTAAAAAGGAGGGTGGTGGGAAAGCAAAGAAACTTTGATCTAGAGCCAAACTACCCTATACTGAAGACTCTCCTCTACTTCCAAGGTCATGGGCCTTGATCATGTCATAAAGACCATAACCAGAGAGACCCTGCCAGCTTTTCTGAAGAGCAGAGTAGCACACATGGTGAGAGACCTTGGCTCCTGTCCTTATAAATAGGGTTTCCATATATTATTCTCTGATACCACACCCAGAAATGAAGGCTAGTGTATGTGTGTGTTTCTGTGTGGGCTTACCAAAAGCTTGTGCCTTTCTGCATATACCCTGTTTCATCCCAGGCCACATTCCTTACTAGGAGGCTGTTGCCTACCTATCTAATGTCCTGACCTACATCCCTCTTCCTGATTCCTCCTAGTGTAGAGGCTGCCTCCTGAATGTAGTGACCTGCTAATGCAAGAATACATGGGAGATGTTGAGGACCCCCAGACCCTCCAAGCACAGTTCAGAGAGTTGATGGAGGACTTCACGATTGTGATTCCTGCACTCCAAGTAGCATATTTTCAACGTGAGTATATCTTTAACTAGACCAAGTGTGGGGGGATCTCAGAGCTGTGGATCCCAGATGAGCTCTGTAGTTTCCAGGCCTGGCACATGTCTCAATCTTGTCTCTGATACCAGACATTTGAAGACACTTACCTCAGTAAATCCTCAAGTCTAGTGTAAAAGAGTGACATTTTATTCAGTTCCAAAGCAGTAAATATGCTATTTAAACTTGGGGTCTTGTCAAAACTACTCATCTGGGAATGACAGGGTCACTATTTCCAATGATCCCATCTGGATTTCATCACTCAAATGTGATTCCAGATAACTTTAGAGTAAGGTTTCTTGTCACCATTGTTTGGTAGGAAATCTCCATGTGAGAAATCAATATATCAACATGTGCTCTCACTCACAGGTTCTCATGCTCCTGTCTGTGAGGAGCCGCCCTCGCTATCGCTATCGCCATTAGAAGATGGCGCTGACATACACTGTCAGTTGGAGTTCACCGTTTAAGCTGTGCCTCTCCCGTGGCGTCATCTGGGGTGATGAGCAAACCACCAATCCCGGCTCTACACGTCTCACTCGGAGCTCCTAGGCTTATATAAGGGGCTGGGTTTCTTAGCTTGGGGTCTCCCTTTCAGAAGCTGATCATCTATCTCTCAAGATGTATTAAAGCTTTACTGCAGAAGGATCCGAGTGTCCTGCATCGTTCTTGCTGGTGAGACGGTAGCGTGGGACATCTGGTGCCGAAACCCAGGAACTCTTCAACATCGCCGGCGCTGCGGGAGACCCCTCGGAAGACTGGGCGGATTCAGAACTGCAGGGACGTAAGTTCAGAGAGGTATGCTTGATCCTGAACACCCCTTTTCTCGACTTTGGCCTTAGTTTGTCATCACCGTGGGACGGGTCAGTGGAGGCTTTGGTGCTAGTCCTGTTTGTCCTCCTTCTTCATCGTGGCTGGTGCTGACAGAACGGTGCTGTCAGTCTGGTAAAGGAGTCGAGCGCCGTTTTTTAGATAAGCCGCTAGCGCAATGGGGTTGTCACAGTCAGTGGTTACTGCCCTACAGACTGTGCTAAAGCAAAGAGATCTCAAAATTGCACCACGAACACTTCAAAATTTTGTGAAGGAGGTAGATAGAGTGGCACCATGGTATGCTTGTTACGGGTCCCTCACTGTGGCCTCATGGAACAAGCTAGGTAAAGAACTAGACAGGAAGCATGCAGAAGGAGATCTCCGCTTAGGTACCAAAGCCATTTGGAAGCTAGTTAAAAACTGCTTGGAGGATGAGGCCTGTCACCCTGCTATAGTAGAAAGTCAGGGAACCTTAGAGGAAGTTCAGGATAGCATGTCAGAAACTGAACGGAGTGAGAGAATGGGAGCTCGCAAAAGGAAAGACATGTCTAAGAAAAAAGGCCCTCCCCAAGAAGTTAAGAACGGGGGAGAGAAAGAAGGGAGTGATCATTCACCCCCTAACAAATCTAAGAAAAAGAAAAAGCCAGAATCTAGCCTATACCCTACGGTAGAGCTAGAAGCCTTGGAGCTAGATAATTCCGATTCTGACACTCTGGATTCTAGCAAAGAAGGTGGTCTAGAGGAGGAGGTGGCACGGTATGAGGAAGAAAGATATTACCCTGATAGACACCGGCTGCTGAAAACAAAAATGAATGTGAGGCCACCGCCTATAAATCCGGCGGGCTCACGCCCCTCGGCGCCTCCGCAGTATGAGCTTTGGCTGAATACTGGTACTGACTCCTTTTTACCTTTAGAGGAACGGAGAAAAATACAAATGGCTTTTCCAGTATTCGAGAATGCGGAAGGCGGAAGAGTACATACCCCCGTAGATTACAATCAAATCAAAGAATTGGCTGAATCCGTTCGTAATTATGGGGTCAATGCTAACTTTACCACAATACAGGTGGAAAGGCTTGCTAATTTTGCCATGACTCCCACTGACTGGCAGACGACAGTGAAAGCAGTGCTTCCCAACATGGGACAATACATGGAATGGAAGGCTCTCTGGTATGATGCAGCCCAGGCGCAAGCTAGAGTTAATGCCACAGCTGAAGATGAGAATCAGAGGCAGTGGACATTTGAAATGCTGACAGGTCAGGGTCAACATGCCCTTAATCAAACCAACTACATCTGGGGCGTCTATGGTCAGGTGTCGGCCGCCGCTATTAAAGCATGGAAGGCCCTCACAAAAAGGGGAGAATCCAGTGGACACCTTACAAAGATTGTCCAAGGACCCCAAGAGCCATTTTCAGACTTTGTGGCCAGAATGACCGAGGCCGCCGGTCGCATCTTTGGTGATTCAGAACAAGCTATGCCCCTAATTGAGCAACTTGTCTATGAACAAGCAACCCAGGAATGTCGAGCGGCTATCGCCCTCGCAAAAGCAAAGGTTTACAAGATTGGCTCAGAGTGTGCAGGGAGCTGGGGGGACCCCTAACCAATGCAGGACTAGCTGCCGCCATTTTACAAACGCACAGGCGTAGAGATTTATCTAGTTGAAAAGCTTGTTTTAATTGTGGGAAAATGGGGCACCTTAAGAAAGATTGTCAAGCCCCTGAAAGAACAAGAGAACTGGAGCTTTGCCATCGTTGTGGTAAAGGTTATCATAGGGCTAGTGAATGCAGGTCAGTCCGGGACATGAAAGGGAGGCTTCTGCCCCCTATTGAAGAACCCAAGGTACCCCAATCAAAAAACGGGTCACGGGGCCCATGGTCCCAGGGCCCTCAGAAATATGGGAACCGATTTCAGAAAAGCAATCAAGAGGAAGTAGAGGCTTCCGAGGAACCCCCGGAATGGACTTGCTTGCCGCCTCCGACTTCTTACTCATGCCCCAAATGAATGTTCAACCGGTCCCAGTCCATTCCCCTGGACCTTTGCCCCCTGCCACCATTGGGCTTATTCTGGGCCGTGGCTCCTTAACTTTACAGGGACTCATTATATATCCTGGGATTGTTGACCCGTATCATAAAGAGGAGATTCAAGTTCTCTGTTCTAGCCCTCGGGGAGTATTTTCTATAAAGCAGGGAGATAGAATTGTACAACTGGTGTTGCTGCCCTCCCTCGGGGATGGAGAAACCTACACTTTACAGAGGAGCCGTTATGGGTCTCTCAATGGCCTCTATCCTCTGAAAAATTAGAGGCTGTCACAAGATTAGTGCAAGAACAGGAACGGCTGGGGCATCTAGAGCCTTCTACCTCCCCATGGAATACACCAATTTTTGTTATTAAAAAGAAATCTGGGAAGTGGAGATTACTCCATGACCTGCGGGCCATTAACAATCAGATGCATCTTTTTGGCCCTGTTCAAAGAGGACTTCCTTTGCTTTCTGCACTTCCTCAAGATTGGAAGCTTATTATTATAGATATTAAGGATTGTTTCTTCTCTATTCCACTTTACCCACGGGATAGACCAAGGTTTGCCTTCACTATCCCTTCTCTTAATCATATGGGACCAGACAAGAGATTTCAGTGGAAGGTCCTGCCGCAAGGCATGGCCAATAGCCCAACAATATGTCAGCTGTATGTGCAGGAGGCTTTGGAGCCAATTAGGAAGCAATTTACATCTTTAATCATGATCCATTATATGGACGATATTCTTATTTGTCACAAAGAGTTAGATGTTTTACAAAAGGCTTTTCCCATGCTGGTGGCTGAATTAAAACAGTGGGGATTAGAGATTGCCTCAGAAAAGGTTCAAATTGCAGATACAGGCCTCTTTTTGGGCTCAATGATTACTCCCAAAAATATAGTTCCTCAGAAAATAGAAATTCGCAAAGACCACTTACAAACATTAAATGATTTTCAGAAACTTCTGGGAGATATAAATTGGTTGAGGCCCTTTTTAAAAATTCCATCTGCTGACCTAAAACCCCTCTTCGATCTCCTGGAGGGTGAGCCTCATATCTCCTAACCCAGAAAATTTACCCCTGCCGCCCACCGAGCCTTACAGATGGTGGAAGAGGCCTTACAGGAAGCACAATTACATCGTATTGAGGAGTCACTACCTTTTAATCTGTGTGTTTTTAAGACAGCTCAATTGCCAACTGCAGTCCTGTGGCAACATGGACCATTACTTTGGATTCATCAAAATGCTTCCCCTGCTAAGATTATTGACTGGTACCCTGATGCTGTTGCACAGCTCGCGCTTCGCGGAATAAAAGCAGCTGTTACGCATTTTGGCAGGGATCCTGATTCCTTGATTGTGCCTTATACTGCTGCACAAGTTCAGACCTTGGCAGCCACATCTAGTGATTGGGCAGTTTTAGTTACTTCCTTTTCAGGACAAATTGATAATCATTTTCCAAAGCATCCAATTTTACAGTTTGCCCTAAACCAG